TTATACTTGAAACAAACCATCAAAAGGTAGGCAAACGTAACAAACAGCCAATGAAACCTCAGATAGTTAAATTTAAACGAACGGGTACAAGGGGTGCATTCAGCCAGCTCGCCTTTACTTCCCAATCTTATCATTGGTTGAGAATGTTCGCGGGTTTCTCAACCAATCACATTGTATACAAAACAAACAAAAAAACAATGAAAGTTGAATATTCGGAAATTCGATTGGTCTGAATGGATAGCTGGCATCTCGTCCCCTGTGTGGCTGGATCGCTTGTTTTCTTCGACCGCAGGTGACCAAAAGGAACATAGGGTCTGGAAACGAGAATAAATGACTGACCGAAATGACAGCTAATATCGTAAAGCAAATATTTCAATGAATCATTTCCTTATGGTAAGATAATCTTCAATGTCCGCTGCGGTCGCGCTTAAAATTAGACATTTAAAGTGTTTTCGACTTTCAGATTAATCGCGACTCTTTAAAAATTGAAGTGATAAGGAAATATCATATTGCGTGACTTCCAGAGTGTATTGTTTGTCTTTGAAGAGAATTATGCCGGCTAATTTCCGTGTCTTGTATTAATTTTTTCCTTGTTTAACTCCTGTCTTCGGATGGAAATTGCAGTGTGATTGTTAATGGTATATGACAGAAAGTCATCCACTTCTGATCTTTGTCGACAACAGAAAAGCATCGATTTCAGCGCTCTTCGGTACTGCGATAGCCGCCAAGCGTAAACAAGAGGATCGAGAGCAAACTTAAAAAAAAGAAAACCATTTGAAAATAACATTGCAATTCCCAATTTTACCCTATGAACGGATGGGCTTTGTACAACCCAGTGTTCAGCCAAATAAGAAATAACAGTGACTGGCATGGTGCAAGCGATAATGAAAGTTAGTAATAACAGGTTGACAATAATAAATTGTCTTTCTCGGCTGGTTCTACCCCTTCGTTGTCGTCCATGTGTTGACTTGTTGGGTCTCCATGAATGCAAGCGCCTCATTTGTTGCCTAAATGCTTTGAACAAGCAAAAATAAGCAACAGTAAGAAGGATGAGGCTGCCTGTGGTGTTGAAATAAAGATCAATTTTAAAAAATATTTTCTTCGATGCTTGAATCATGCTGAATAAAGAAAACATCGCAGAATAGGCCCACGTAAGGATCACACTTATTTGGACTCTTTTCTTGGTCACGAGCGCGCGGTGCTTGTGCGGAAAGCTGATTGCCGTGAACTGACTCCATGTGAAAAGAAGCAAAATGATATAAGAACTGTTCATTGTCACCACAGAAAGAAGTTGACCGACTTGAGACACTTTTCCAAGGGTCGAAATTGAGGACGAATCGCGGTTTTTATAAGCTAAGGACGAAGATATGTATAACCATGCATGCATCGGACACACTGCCAGTCCTGTAAGAAAATCGGCCGCTGCTAAACCAATGATAAAAAAGGTGGTGGGCGTGCGAAATGATCTAAAGGGATCTCTCCAGATGGCTAGGAGAAGGAGACCATTTCCAAAAGTGGTTATTACGGATAGAACAGCCAAAAAGATTCCCAATATGATGCTCAGTTGATAATAAGTTTTCAAGAGCTGGATTACCTCTAGCCAGGTTTGCATCATTGGTTGCGTAGAATTCATTGTGGAATTCATCTCATCGACATCAGTAGAGAAATCGCTGATGTTCTGTTGATTAACAGCGATGAATTTGTTGTTAACTTGAATAACCAGACAAAATTTGCTGTCAATAACTGGGACGATATTTGTTGTCGTCAACGTGTGAGACAAGTTCTTGAGCTAATTTTGCCTCCCAACCTTTAATACCAGCAGCTGGAATATCCCACGCGAAAGGCTGTTAGCTTTTCTTTAACAAGATGTCTAATGTGAACTTTTCCTACAATTACCTTCGTTTTTCTTTTGTTCCAAAAGTAAATAAAATGCTGTTCATAGAAAATGTGAGATTTACTAAGGTACAAAAACAGCATCAATTATCAATCTAGGATATTGGTAATTTTACGCTAAATAATTAGATTTTAAAGATTCCGGTCCGAGAACAATAAAAACCGAAATGATTTTGACAAACCGGAACTTGATTACTGATAAACTCAATTGCTCATTTGTTTCGCTCAGTCGGCTTTGTTCAAATTGGCAATTAAATCTTGCGAAATTTCAGCTTGCGTTTGATCAGAAACAAATATACCACTTTTTTAAGGTTTATCTACTGATTCATTCTTCTTTTTTTTTCTTTTCTCTTGAGCTCGTCAGATCTAACCCTACTTCAGAATCAATTGAATACCACTTTTTATCGTATATATGACCTGTACT